TGCGCGTGGTCCGGCTGGTGGTGGGTGGCGCCGCGCCCAGATGCACACCAGCAGGGCCGCCGCTGCGGCCCGCACCACGGCCTTCCAGTACCGCCGCCCCCACCGCGGCTGCAGCCGCGCCTGCGTCGCTCGCAACCAGCGTGTGCGGTTCCTTTTGGACTGCGCAGTCCTGCCGCGGCCGCAGTCGCCGCTCCCAGGCCGCACGCCCTGCAGCTGTGCATGGTGGCTGCTGCTGCTGCTGCTGCTGCTGCTGCTGCTGCTGCTGCTGCTGCTGCTGCTGCTGCTGCTGCTGCTGCTGCTGCTGCCGCTGCTTCGTGCCCTGTTCATTCCCCTGCACCTGCTCTTTTTCCTTGAGCCTCTGCCGCCGATGGTGACGCAGCCTGTATGGACAGGACCTCTGAGGTAACCCCTCAACCACCTCCCCCGGCTTCAAGCCGACCCACAGTTGCTGCGCCTCCCACCACTGCCGCTTGCAGCTGCCCCGACCGTGCTCTGGCGCCAAGGTTGTCGCTGCTTGCCGCTGCGGTGCCTGCAGTGCGCCTTCCTGCTCGCATCCAGCAGGCGCTGCCACCTGGGCCTCTGGGGTTGCTCGCTGCTGCTGCTGCTGCTGCTGCTGCTGCTGCTGCTGCTGCTGCTGCTGCTGCTGCTGCTGCTGCTGCTGCTGCTGCTGCTGCTGCTGCTGCTGCTGCTGCTGCTGCTGCCGATGCTGCTGCAGCAGCTGCTGAAGCAAACAGTGCCAGGTCCCCTGCGACCCCTGCATTGGCAGCCGCCCCCCTGCTGCATGGTCCTCTGCTCCAGCAAGAACCTCTGAAACTGGCACAGCAGGGAGAGCTGCGGCAGCCAGCAATGGCGTCCCCGCCCCCTCACGTCGCGCCTCGGATGTTGGCACACTCGCAGCGGCCCCCTGCCCTTCGTCACAATGGTCGCCTTGTTCTGAGGCCCCACAGTCCGCGGCCGCCTCTGCCTCTGCCTCTGCCCCTGCCCCTGCCTCTCCCCCTGCCGCTGCCCCTGCCGCTGCCCCTGCGTCGCGACGCGTCTCGCGCTGCACCCACCGCACACGCCGCGCCTCGCTCTGCCGCTGCCGCCGCTCCCGAGGATCCTCCTCCCCCTGCTCCCCCTCCCAGTCCTCTTCTTCCCTCTCTCGTCGCCCGCGCCGCCGACTGGCCCCAGTCCCGCCCGCAGGCCTTCGCGGCCCCCGCTTCGCCTCGGCCCCAGCCTCCCCGCCGCCTCCGCCTTCCTCATCCGAGGAAGCCTCGCACGCGGCCTCGGCCTCCCCTGCCGCCGCCGCCGCCGCCGCCGCCGCCGCCGCCGCCGCCGCCGCGCGTGGCCCCAGCCCCTCCCAAACGCCACGCGCGCGCGCCTCGTGCGCGGCCGTGAGGTCCAGCTGCCGCTGGTCCAGCATCATCTGTGGCCAGAACTGGGCCTCCACGTGAGAGAAGCGCAGCTGCTCGTACCTGGTGCAGTCCTCGGGGATAGCCACCACCAGCAGCGGCCTGGCTACCCCCTTGATTGATAGCGCCTCGAGCGGCTGCGGCACCGGCGGCAAGGCCCTCACGCGAAGACTCTCGCTGCCGCCGCTGAAGCCGCCAAAGCCAGCCTGCTGGTTGTCCAAGCACCCTGCTCGCTGCCACTGCTGCTGCTGCTGCTGCTGCTGCTGCTGCTGCTGCTGCTGCTGCTGCTGCTGCTGCTGCTGCTGCAACCCTCCCTTAGCAGCCTGCTCGAGCACCTGCTGCCGTTCCTGGCGCTCGAGCGATGCAGGGACCTGCTCCTCCACCGCCCTGAAAAACTCGCGCACGCCGTCCCTTGACACCTGTCCCGCCTTTGGCACCGAGCCTGCAGACCCTCCGGCAACCCCCTGAGCAGCTCCGGCGGCGGGACACGGCGCAGCTGCAGAGCGCCCAGCTCGCGCCGCAACGCTGCCGTGCTGCTGCGCCTCGGTGCCGGCCATGGGTTGATCGAGGTCAAGTCCAGTGATCTGGCGGCTGACAGCCAGGATTTCAAAGTCCTCCAGCCCTCTCGGGAGGGCTCCGATCAGCGCCAGGAGATGCCGCCCCAGCTCGCTGGTGGGCGGTATCGACACCTGGATCACATGGTGCTCCGCCAGCGGCTGCGGCGAGGCAGCATTCCCACTGCCCCTGCCACTGCCTGCGCCGCCGCCTCTGCCGGGCCCCCTGCCGCCTGTGCCGCCCGGCGCCCGACCACGGCTGCTGATGAAAGCGCTCTCTTTGCCGCTGCCATGCACCAGCGTCGGCGCCGGGTTGCGCAGCCGGGCGATCAGGGAGTGGTATGCCGCAAGCGAAGCTGCTGAGAAGCCGCTGACAATCTCGAAACACCCTGCATTGCCTGGCGGGCGCATGACCTGGGAGCGGTGTTCGTGAAGGAAGGGCGTAGTGGGGATTGAGTTATAAGAGGTGTGATCAGGGGATGGGGCGAAAGGGGATGAGTGCTGCACGGAGTGCTGGGCAAGCCCATTTGTTGGGCGCGCAGTCCTGTAAACTGCGGGTGAGTCCAGCTGCTGCGCGGTGCGCATCTGTGCCAGCAGCATGGCAAGAAGCTGCATGGCGGGCTCAGGCCGCAGCTGGCGCGTTTCAGCGAGTTTCTTGCGCCCACCTTTCGTGTCGCTCCAGCCAGCAGCTCCCCGCTGGCTTCGCTCCAAGCGCTGTTGTCAACCGCTGCCGCCTGTTGAGCGCCCGTCCCATCCGCGTCAAGCCCAACATCAAGGCCACCACCTGGCTGCGACCACGCCTGCTGCTGCCATCCAGCTTGCCCACCGTCGAGCAGCTGCCGGCGCTGCTTGTCACTTGGCCAACAGCTCACGTCAACCGCGCCCGCTGTTGATGCACCGAGCCCGCCCTGCGCATCCGAGGAATGCTGCTGCTGCTGCTGCTGCTGCTGCTGCTGCTGCTGCTGCTGCTGCTGCTGCTGCTGCTGCTGCTGCTGCTGCTGCTGCTGCTGGGGTAAAAGTTTCAGTAGCGATGGAGTTGTCGCCAAGCCGCCAGGTTCGCTCACAAATGCGCCCAATGCTGCGTGTGCATCAACCGCCGCCCCGCCGCCTGCCGCCACTTGCCGGCGCAGAAACGCCAGCTCTGCGCGTAGCGCCGCGCCGTCCGCCTCCGCCGCGTGCAGCCGCCCCGTCAGCTCGGCTGCCGCGCGTGCCGCAGCGGCGCGCGCTGTGTGTGCGGCGTCGGCCTCAGCAGTAACCAGCCACGTTTCAGGGCAGACCAAGGGGGTGCCAGGCGGCAGGTGGTTTCTGCGGCGGGCGGCGCGGCGCTTGACCTTGGCGCACGTCTCGCAGCGCTCCTGCTGCTGCGGCTGTTGTGGCTCGGGCAGAGCGGCGC